GGTCCTAAAGCTAGGGACTACATCCAATGTCAATGATAAGTGCAAGTGGCCATAAGGTCTTGTAATAACTGACGTCCGCTTCTTGTGTACTAGGACTGTAACCAAACATTTGCACACAGCTTGACCAGAATTGCTCTTCATTGCCTGGGTCTAGAGGTATGTTGAAGCAGTAGCTTTGAGAGCCTTTTATAGTCCCTGCTACACCAAGGAGAGGTCCTGTCAGAGCACCCATGGCCCTGACTGTCCCTGCCCAGCATCTCCTTGGGCTCTCCTCACCCTGTCCAGGTCCCAGGACCCCATTTCAGCCTCCCAGAACTGTCAGTCCCAGCAACACTGCAACAGTGCCCATCTCCAGCTCCCCACAGCCCTGCCTGGCAGTGGTCCCACTGCACTGGGGAGGTGCCCAGTGCCTGGGACTGGGGTTGTGTCTGGCCCCAGAGACCCTCACTGGGCCTGATCCTGACCCCACTTGCAGACTGACGTCCTGGTCCGGCCTGTGTGTGTACAGGAAGCAGCTGAGGTTTATGACAAATGGGAAGTTAAAATGAGCAAATTAATTTCATTTTGAACAAGTTTTTGCTTTTCCCATGTGAAATTAGATGAATCATCTCTGAATCGGTTTTCTCCTGACAGGAAATGGTGAGAGTTAAGACGTATAGGAGGATGGAAAACCTGAACCAGACAAAACTCAGAGGATCCAAGTAACTGCATTTTTAAGGAATGTGGTTAAGTGACTCTCAGTTGTCCCATCTCCAAAGTGGGGATGGGCTTTGCGTGTTTGGGAAAGGTGTGGCAATGTGACTTGAATAAACGCACTGCAGTTAAATACTCATGTGGAAAAGTCGTAAGAAAGGGGAGGAAAAGGAGCAAACAGTTCAGGAAGAGTTATCCTCCATATGTGTACAAACAGCTGGACACTGAACCTCTGTCATCAGGTGGTCTTCTTAGTTCTTGTAATGTCATCTGTGGTGGCCACTATGCTTTGTCACCTCATGCTAAGTATCACAAAAGGGACATGGAAAAAAAGGAACAGTATCCTAATCTTGCAAAAATTGCTTGTTGTCCTGCAGGCATTAAGTTTGGGTTGGATTACTGTATATTTTTTCAAGTCAGTAGGCATATGTTATTGGTTATAACAATCTATACTTTTCACGCTGGCTGGGAAGTGCTCTAAAGACACTTGCAGATCTAGCTCTGCAGTCTGAGCTGGCTCACACTGGTAGCACCAGCAAAAAAATTTCTGTAGGATTTGCTGGCAGATCTTTGTTACTCTACCAGATATCTCTGTCCATACTGACAGAGTATCTAGAGGCCGACAGCATGGAATACCACTGAGGTCCCGAGGTCATGTCTGCTAAGGCGAGGCACCAAACTTTGCTGTAATTCATAGAATCATAGAATCGTTCAGGTTGGAAAAGACCTTTAAGATCATCAAGTCCAACTGTTAACCTAACACTGCCATCCCACCACTAAACCATGTCCCTAAGCAAATTGTGTTGGCAAATGCATAAGAGGGAGGGAGAACCTCTCCCAGAAAGTGTCCTCACTATCTGCTCCTCGTTCCTGCATTGCAGGGAAATGTGTACTGCTTCCATGTATCCTTATTAAGCTTGATCATGGCTAGACTAATGACCTCTGGTGCATGACTTCAGGCTTTTTGTGCTGCTAATCGCACAATAAATAGCAGTATTTGGGGAAGAAGGACAAACCATGGGTCCTTGTGTATTCACTACTGAATGAGATAACACTGTATGCCTTCTTCTATGCCTTGACTTTTCTCTGGTGCTTCTGCATCCTCTGCCTAATACACATGGCTTGACTGCTTGTTTGTGAGAGATGCTCATGAGATGATATTTTCTTCTTGACAATAAGGGAAGGGAAGGGAATAATGGAGTAAACACATAAGTGACAAACCAAATAAATAGAAGCACTTAAAATAATTACAAAAAATAGGTTCAAGTTGCAAAATGGCCATTTAACATTTGATCAATAGCCTCAAAAGTGGAGTAAGACAAAGACTAACAACAATGGTGCTGCAGCGTTGCTCTGGCACATACCGAGAGGCTTTGCCTCTGGAGATAGTTGGTGGTGTAGTGATCACTGCTATACAGGATTTAGACACACCGCTGTATTCCATCTGACTCTGGGTGTGTAAGGAAAACGGTCTTGAGAACATCAAATTACAGACTGGAGGAAAATGTGCTATTGTGCTGCATTATTACTCTTGCAAAGTAAGAGTTGCAGAGAATGGGGGAAATTGTTTTGTTGCGAGGTAGAAAGGCTTCTGTCCCAAACCCACTATTGGCATTTGTAATGTGAAAATAGTTGGTGAGTATAAACAGATCCAGCCCTCTGACACTGTAACAAGTTTAGTTTTTAAAGGACATCGGGGTTTTTACCAGACCTAGATGGGACAGAGCAGACATACAGTCACTCACCTGATTTCAGGGAACTTTAGCAGATGTTAATAATTTTGCAGAATTTTCAATTCTCTATGCCCCCTATTACTACATGAAGTAAATGTGCTACGGTCAAGTTCTCTTGCCTTTGTAAAATTCCCAGTGAACATTGCTCTATAAGCCATCCTGCTTCCAACACGGCTTTGAAAGCCCAGGTCCAGATCTGCTGAATTTGCCATCTTATTTGCCCTCCCTGTCTCAGGGTTAATTACTCCTCAGCTAGGAGACCCCAACGATGAGGAAGAATAGAAAGAAAACATAAGTAGGAGAGAAAAATATGGTTTTTTCCTAAAGTCCTTTTTACCATAAATATGCAAGAAAAGGTCAAACTGCCTATATGAAGTTTTAAAGACTGGGACTTTGTGAATTAATTGAAGATGAAGAGTCACCCCAAATCTTCAAGAGGTTCATTTGCCTTCCCTGTAGTGGAATGCGAGAGAAGAGTGAGGTGATTTTTTTTCCATTCACAGGTCTTCCATTTCATTGAAATAGCGAAGTTGAGCACCTGGTCAGCACCATACGTAAACCGTTGAAGTGCAGTTTGTGTACATCAGGTACAAATGCAGCAATGTGACGGTGCTAAACTGGCTGATGGCCATTAAACTTTGAGGTAAATGAATTAGGAACTCCTGCCAGAGACACAAAAACATATACGAAGTTTTAGCTGATAAGGAGGTGTGCACGCTAGCGGAGTAGTCACCGCATTGTGGTGAAACAGTTTTGCATCACCTTGTGCTGCAGCCAAAGGTTTTATGTAGAGAAGCTGCTGTGACTTGATCTGTAACCTGGCAAAAGAGCAGTGAGCAAAAATTGTGATTCTTCTTCCTAGCTTGGCATCAAAATGTGAATAAAATGGTGCTTTCACTTCTCTTGCAGACTCGATCTCCGCCAATTTTTTCCATGTTACTGAATCATAACAACAGATTGTGCAGAAATAGCACTATGTGCTTTATTTAGAGTGTGGTCTGCTTCTGCACGCCAAAGACTTACACGAAGCTCAGTGATTCCACACAAACCTTTTCATCTTTGGTCTCTGTGTCCCAATTTAAGCCATTAACATTAAAGAGCCTTTTGCTATGTTAACAAGAGCAAAGAGTTGCAGAGAAAGTAGCCCATTCCGAAGTAAATAAAGTATGTGCTGTCCATTATTGTATGTGTAGCCTCCAGAAACTTCAGCTTTGGAAGTACGGGGGGAAAAAAAAATCCCTAATTGAGTGTTTCGCAGTAGCCAGAGGTATAAATCTCGGCAAGCGCAGCGGAGGCACAGCTCGTGGGAGTTTGTGCTACCTCACTCTCTTTGAAACCATTTTATTTTAAAGAACGGGAGTCTAACTGTTCGCTTTCTTCTCTAAGGTGAAAAAGACCCTCTGAAGATTAACACTGAGTTTTCCGTCCCGCGGTAACTTTAAAGGAGAATTTCTAATTTACAAAGAAAAACAAAATTTTCGCGCTCTCAAGGTCCGTTCGGTTCCAGGACTCGGGGTTTCTTGTCCCCCCTCCACCCAAACTCCACTCTTTTCGCGACGAGACACCGACAGGCGAAAATAGGCTCTTCCACCGCCTCCCGGGGGGGGGAAGGGGGCGATTTCGTGACAGATAAAGCAGAAAAAAACCATTTTGTTATCCCCGAAG